GCACTGTGCTCGGACAACGTCCATAGAGTTTATGTGAACAGCATGGCCAGGATTAGAACCTGGCATGTCTAATTCCAAAATCCATAATCTTAACCACTTTGTTTTACTATCTCAACGTAATAATGGTATTTACTGAGTGCTTACTACTATTATGTTTTGAGCTAAAGAGCTTCATTATCAGATCTTCCCAATCATACATGAATGTACAAATTGGATGGCTATAAGTGGGATGAAAAGATCTTTTTAATGAACTCTTATATTGCTATTAAGAAATGTTTTTTGCAGGGCCATTGTTGTGATGCAGCAGGTTTAGCCACCCCTTGTGATGCCTATGTAATATCTGGAGTGCCATTTTGGGCCTTTGCTGCTCTGCTTCCAATCTAACTTCCTGCTAATGTGCCGGAGAAAGCAGCAAAAGATGGTCCAAGTACTTTCACTTCTGCCACCCATGGGGATACCTGGATAGAGTTCTTTTTTTTTTTTTTTTTTTTTAAGATTTATTTATTTTACTTGAAAGTCAGAGTTAGAAAAGGAGAGGCAGAAAGAGAGAGAGAGAGAGAGATCTTCCATCCACTGATTCACTCCCCAAATGGCCACAACGGCTGGAGCTGAGCCAATCCGCAGCCAGGAGCCAGGAGCTTCTTCCAGGTCTCCCAAGCAGGTGTAGGGGCCCAAGGACTTGAGCCATCCTCTACTGTCTTCCCAGGCCATAGCAGAGAGCTGGACTGGAAGTGGAACAGCGGAACTCAAACCAGCACCCATATAGGATGCCGACACTGCAGGCGGCAGCACTACGCACTACACCACAGCACCTGTCCCTGGAGTTCTTGTCTCCTAGCTTCAGCCTGGCCACTTGGGGAGCGAACCAGCAGATGGAAGATCTCTTTCTTTGTCTTTCTCTCTCTGTGTATCATTCTGCCTTTCAAATAAATAAATAAACAAATCTTTTAAAAAAAATTTGCAACCAGTTAAACATGGACAAAATTATATTTAGTTTCTACATGGGACCAGCACTGAGGTATAGCGGGTAAAACTGCCGCCTGCAGTGCTGGCATCTCATACGGCCACCAGTTCAAGACCTGGCTGCTCCACTTCCGATTCAGCTCTCTGCTGTGGCCTGAGAAAGCTGTGGAAGATGGCCCTAGTCCTTGGGCCCCTGCACCCATGTGGGAGACCCGGAAGAAGCTCCTGGTTCCTGGTTTCGGATTAGCACAGCTCAGGCCATCGCAGCCAGCTGGGGAGTGAACCAGCAGATGGAAGACCCCTCTCTCTCTTTGCCTTTCCTTCTCTCTCTGTGTAACTCAAACTTTCAAATAAATAAATAAATCTTTAAAAAAAATTTGTAAAAACTAAGATGGCCTAGGAAAGAATAAAGAAAAACAAAAATAGCTGATGTGTTAGGGTGGCATTCATGGTGTGCTTTCTTTTAAACAATTTTGCTTTCATGTTATCTTATTGTTTAGCAGTAGATATACAGATGAACTAGTCAACTGTGACACCAATTCTTCAAAGAACCTTTGGATTAATTCTCTTGGAATGGAAATAATTATACCATGTTTCTATTATATTGAAGCTTAAAAACTGTAAGGTATCAACCTTCTTCAAAAACTTTACAGAACATTTTGCTTTTTCTCAAAGCATATAAACAACCACATTTTCATAGAAAACAGTATCAAGCAGAAATTTGATATTCGTGTTATAAATAGAACATTTGATTATATCTTATTTCTGTACCATGCTTAAGGTATTCCTTTAGCTTCTTTGTAGTCCTCAAATTTCTCATTTGTAAGATGATAGAGGTGGATCAGATGGTGTTCTACAATGTTCTTTTCACTGTAGTGTCCTGGAATTTTATAATCCTCTAACAAAACAATACATATGGATAGTCCTGCAACCCTGCATATGCTTTCAAGCGGTGCTTTCACCCTAGTAACGGTTCCTAGAGCTGAAGGCATTACTGACAGGGCCGGTATTGTGGTGCAATGCGTTAAGCCGTCACCTACAATGCCAGCATCCCACATGAGCGCCTGCTGGAGTCATGGTTGCTCCACTTCTGATCCAAATCCCTGTTCATGCACCTGGGAAAGTAGCACAAGATGGCCCAAGTACTAAGGCTCCTGCCACCTACCTGGAAGACCCAGATGAAGCTCCTGACTCCTGGCTTTAGCCTGGTAGAGCCTAACCCATCACTGCAGCCATCTGGGGAGTGAACTACCAGATAGAGGATATCTCTCTGCATGTCTTTCCCTCTCTTTCTGCTTTTCAAAATAAAAAAAATCAAAAAAAAAAAAAAAAAGACATTACTGTCTCTTCTCACTGAGCCAATGGACCCCAAAGGAACTGGGGAGCTTGGAAATCTACAAGAGATAGCAAAATGGCTAATGATTTAGGAATTGATCTTAAATTAAAGGATGCACATGTTCATCTTGGATTGAAAAAGGCTAAGGATGAGGCCAATGCTATGGATCAATGGGTTAAGCCATAGACTGCAGTGCTGGCATCCCATATGAGTGCCAGTTCAAGTCCTGGCTGCTCCACTTCCTATCCAGATCCCTGTTAATGGCCTGGGAAAGCAGTGGAAGGTGGCCCGAGTACTTGGGCCCCTGCACCCATATGTACCCATGTAGGAGACCCAGAAGAAGCTCCTGGCTCCTGGCTCCTGGCTCCTGATTTCAGCCTGGCCCAGCCCTGGCCACTGCAACCACTTGGGGAGTGAACCAATAGATGGAAGCTATCTCTCTCTCTCTCTGTGTCTCTCCTTTGCTCTCTGTAACTCTGCCTTTCAAATAAATAAATAAATCTTAAAAAATTAAAAGGCAAAGGTGTGGACAATGATCAACAATTTCCTGCACTTTTACTATGAATAGAGTAATAGGAAAAGGAGTAACACTAAACAGGAGGAATACAGACCAGATTATATCTTTAAAAACTACAGGTTTCTTAGAAACTGTGAGATCCGTGTGAGCAGAAGCTATGCCTCCTTATATCCCAGCATCTACTACAGGATCTGGCATCCAGGAAGTCCTAAATAAGTAAGTGTACGGTGGCAGGAGGTGGGGGTGCGGGTGCCAATAAAGAATTATTTTAATCTTTAAAATTCAAAGCACAGAGGTACATTATGGAGAAAAAAAAAGGAAATTTATCTTCTCGATATTAAAAAAGAAGATGATGGCAATCTTGCAATAATTTAGATATTGAGCTTTTGGCACAGGGTTAAAATTACACTTGGGATGCCCACATATCACATCAGAGTGCTTGGGTTCAAATCAAGACTCCACTTCCAATTCTAGTTTCTTTTAATGCACACCATGGAAGGCATCGAGTGATAAACCAAGTACTTGGTTCTGGGCCATCATGTGGGAGACCTGGATTGGGTTCCTTGCTGCTGGCTTTGGTCTGGACCAGCCCTGGCTGTTGCAGGCATATAGAGAGTGACTCAGCAAATGGAAAATTGCTCCGTCTGACAGTGCACCCCTCAGCTTTTCAAATAAATAGTAATTTCTTTTAAATACGTGGATTTCTTTAAAATATAACTTAGACACATAAAAATCGAAACATAGGAGCCAGCACTGTGGTGCAGCGGTTAAAGCCCCAGCCTGCAGTGCCAGCATCACATATGGGCACCAGTTCCAGTCCCGGCTGTTCCTCTTCCTCTCCAGCTCTCTGCTATGGCCTGAGAAAACAGTAGAAGATGGCCCAAGTGCTTGGGCCTCTGCACCCTCATGGGAGACCTGGAAGAAACTTCTGGCTCCTGGCTTCAGATTGGCGCAAGTCTGGCCATTGCAGCCAATTGAGGAGTGAACCAGTGGATGGAAGACCTCTCTCTCTCTGCCTCTCCTCCTCTCTCTGTGTAACTCTGACTTGCAAATAAATAAATAAATCTTTTTTAAAAATCAGAAAAATAAACCTCATTATATTTCAGAATTACTTCTCTTTAAAAAATCCTAGAGCTTTAATGATACTGTTACAGACTGGCTATGACACGGACAGGGCTGAAGAAAGGCTGTGTACACTCTGACCTCAAATTTTGTGCCAAACATTTATTTGTGTCTGTTTTAAGTTTCTTAAGCACTCAGAGCTCGAGCAACACAATTCCCCCAATACTAGCTCGGAATGGCAGAGGATGGGTCATGAGTGTACGGGCCCCTCATGTGGGTCCCTGTGCAGAAGGAACCCTCCAACAGGTGAAATCAAGCTCAACAGACAGAATACAAGCCGTCACCCTTCACAATCACTTTCCATTGCCCCCAGTGATTTATAATGAGGTGAGTTACTCTTTCAACTCATTTGTCATGCTTCTTACTGTCAATGGGAACACTCTAAATGTGGGGAGGAAAATCCGTGTAAGAGGCATGACAATAAAACTGGGAAGCTGCATCCACAAGACACAAGTAAGCTGTCTTGGCACTTTAAGTCCTACCTCATAGTTAAGCCAACCAACTGAGAAAAATTAACCTAAGAAATCTGGCAAAAATGTCACCAAGAAACCTGTCTCTTATGAAATGCATATAAATAAAACACTGTTCATAAAACCATGCATCCTACTGTGAAACTCATATTCCATCAGAGGGACAGATTTCTCCTTAGCTTCCAACAGTACAACACAAAGCCAACTCAGTCTCCATATGAATGCCCCCAGTGTCACCTCCATTTTCTGAAACAAGCAAACCATTTGCCCAGAGTTGACTGCCTTGAATGATACACTTATAATGGATGTTTTGCTCTTCTTATCTTTTCCCTTATAAGACAGATGCCTTGTAGAGAACAACTCTGTCTTCTCCTTATAAAGCCAAGTACCCTCTTTTTCTGTTTTCTTTAGAGTTTTCTCTTTGAAGTTTTCTTGCATAAAGAAACTCAAGGGCTGGTAGTTGTCTTGAGGGGCAAGAAACCAAACTACCGAACTGGAATGTTGAATGTTTCAGAATAAGGGGACCTTCAGGTAAGAGTTGTTTTTTTTTTTTTTTTTTTACAGTCCCTGCTTTATTTTCATTTGGTCACACACACACACACACACGCTCACAAAATACCCAAAACATCAAGAAGTAGAAGGGCATGAAACAGGGTGCTTACAGGCTTAAAAAATACCCTAGGCTTCAGAATCAAACAATACCAGTCAACTACTGAAAATTTCTTTGTTCAAAACACAAAGATGTTTTGTTATCGTGGGACTTAATTTTTTTTTTTAACTTTAAAAAAAGAGTCAGGCTTCTTCTACTGCCTGGCTTCTCTTCCTTTGAAAGCCATTTGCAAATTAGAGATGCAGCCTTCTCTGGTCTCTATGTTCAAACCACCCTCCGCCCACTGCCTGCCCTCTTACAGCGCAGGCTCCCAGGGCCCACCCTGAAGGCAAGGGCAGGGGCTACAGAGCATCCAAGATGTGGTTGATCTTGGTGACCAGCTCCTGACGCTTTCCAGAGATGAGCTTCTCATTCTCGATGTACGTGTCCTTCTTGAGCTTGCTGGCCACCAGCCGCTCGGCCTCCACCGCCGACTTCAACACCAGCTCCTTGACCTGCACGTCCAGCTTCTGCATTTCACTCACTCTGTCGCACAGATCAGAGCCCTCTGTCTTCAGCCTGGACTGCAGCAGAGCAATCTCACTGGTCAAGGCCTTGTGTTCAGTCTCCAGGCTCTTCTTGCCGCTGTTCAGAGTGGAGACATCCCGAGATTGCTTGTACCTATTAATGGTCTCGTCAAAGTGACGGTAGAGGCCTATTCTCTTGTTGACCAGGGTCAAGACCTGCTCTGTGATGCAAGCCACTTTCATTCTGGCTTCCGCAGCTGGATCCTTGGTGATGGAAAAGTCCAGACAGACATAGATGATGACGGTGAAGAACAGGATGTAGAAGGCAGCTACCACCAGCAGGGGCTCCTGCAGCACGAGCACCTTGTTGAACGTGTAGTGGGCCACAATGTCCTGATGTGCTGTTCTACCAGATTTTTCTTGTAAGCAACAATCACAGGGCGGCCAAATGTGTCCAGGTAAGTGTAGTGCAGCTCATCTGGGGCACGGCTGATTTCATAAGGACTATCAACTTGGATATTCTTGGCTCCTTCAGGCAGAATGATCTTCACAGTCAGAGAATCTATCACCTGCTCATCAAACACATGGTCCACAAATCTCATCTTCAGTGCATACTGATCGCCCAAATTATAGAGGTATTCATAGCTTGGGAGGTTGTAGCCAACGATGTAATGTGTCTTCCACCCTCCAAAGAGAGGGAAGCGAGGCCGGATTTCCATCTCTACGGAGTCATCCAAAATGAGGAGGTGGCTGGTGGACACGTTGCTGATCTCACCCCGGTAGTAAACATCCTGGGCAGCCGCAGGGAGGATGGTCTTGAAGGAGCGGATGGAGGAGATCTGACTGTTGGGCTGTCTCTGGTAGTCGTAGCGTGAGAAGGGCCCCTTCAGCACAGCCCCCGTGTGCTTCAAGTCCGCGTTTTCCTCCACAGCGATATTGCCCCAGTGGGAGACCTCGATGACGCGGGTCATGCTGGTGATGGTCAGGAAAGGGCTGTTGTTCTCATAGTGTACTTTAAAAGCATCCTGACTATAGGATATATAGAAGATAAAGCTGCCGCCTGCAGTGCCAGCATCCCATATGGGCGCCAGCTCGAGTCCCGGTAGCTCCACTTCCAATCCAGCTCTCTGCTATGGCCTGGGAAAAAAGTAGAAGATGACCCAAGTGCTTGGGCCCCTGCATCCACTTGGGGGACCCAGAAGCTCCTGGCTCCTGACTTCAGATCAGTCCAGCTCAGGCCATTGTGGCCCTTTGGGGAGTGAACCAGCAGATGGAAGACCTTTCTCTATCTCTCCCTCTCACTTTCTATAACTCTACATGTCAAATAAATAAATAAAATCTTTAAAAAAAAAAAGTATTAAAGGAAAAGATATGAAAAGTGATAAGGAAAGTTTACTGCAATATCATCACTGACAAAAATTTACATACGAATATTTATATAACAATCTACATATTGTATATCATGTCAAACCTTGCAGCAGTCAATACACTATACCTATATTATTTTTATTCATAATTTTCACAATTCACATTTTTAATGCAGCATTGGTATTTCAATTAGAAGGTCAATACAAGGAGATGTGATGATAATTAGAAGAATTAATTAATGGAATTCAGGTCTAAGTCAAGACTGGCTTGACACATCAAAATTCTGTTAAGCCATCAATGGCAACTAAACCATAGAGAAAGATAGCTAGATGTTATATGCTTCCTGATGAAATATATTCCTATCTATGATTTACTCTCACCAAAATATTCAGATCTGAATTAGGTCAAATCTTTATATGCATTTATTGACATTTATTGACAAAGCAATCAGTGAGCAAAATCCAGACCGGGAAACCCTAGAATTCAAACAACTCAGTTCTTGAAAAAATAAGATACAGAAAAAAAGCCACAGATTAAGCCACAGATTAAGAGAGTCACTGGAGCTGGCATTGTAGCACAGCAGGTAAAGCCGCCACCTGCAATACTAGCATCCCATATCAGCACCGGTTTGTGTCCTGGCTGCTCCACTTCTGATCCAGCTCCTGCTAATGTGCCTGGGAAGGCAGCAGAGGATGCTCCAAGTGCTGGGGCCCTGGTACTCAGGTGGGAGACCCAGAAGAGCTCCTGGCTCCTGATACCTGGCTCCTGGCCGTGGCTCACTTGGTTAATCCTCCGCCTGCGGTGCCAGCATCCCATGTGGGTGCCAGGTTCAGTCCCAGTTGCTCCTCTTCCAGCCCAGCTCTCTGCTGTGGCCCAGGAGGGCACCGGAGGATGGCCCAGGTGCTAGGGCCCTGCATTCACGTGGGAGACCAGGAAGAAGCACCTGGCTCCTGGTTTTGGATCGGCCCAGCGCTGGCCGTAGCAGCTATCTGGGGGGTGAACCAACGGAAGGAAGACCTTTCTCTCTATCTCTCACTGTCTAACTCTATCTGTCAAATAAATTAAAAAAAAAAAAAAAAGAAATCATTGTTTTATTGAAATTTCTATTTTTAGACACATATATTGAGATATTTACAAATAAAATTGTGTATTATCTGGGATTGGCTATAAAATATCCAGTGCATTGGGAATAAGAAAAAGGAATCTATAAAATGAAATAAGATTTATCATAAGTTGGTAATTTTTGAGAATTTATTTTACCACCCTCTCTACTTTTGAGTTCCACAGTACACCATAATAAAAAAGCTGCTAAAAAAAAAAAAAAGTGAGTCACCAAACCAAAAAATTCATATGAAAAGTCACAATTTATGCTTGATATAATTGATATCTATGGCACAGTCATGGTGCTATATTTCAATATATTAAGTAGAAAGTCATTTCCAAGATCTTGTATAGCCTATCCCATAACTACAATGAACTACAATGTTTCATTGGAAACCACATGCATGTCAGTTTCTAGTACTGAGAACTAAAGCTGCAGTTTTACAACTAAATTGCCTCAAGAAAATGCTTGATAAAACTTCAAGCCCCTAAAATTTATTCAAATTGGTTACAATCTAAGATCTGAGAGTTAACAATTTTTTTTATTTAAGTTTTATTTATTGTGGCCAGTCTGTGGCATAGTGGGTTAAGCCACCGTTTGCAGTACCAGCATCCCGTATGGGCGCCAGTTTGGGTCCCAGATGCTCCACTTCCAATCCAGCTCTCTGCTATTGCCTGGGAAGGCAGTGAAGATGGCCCAAGTGCTTGGGCCCCTTCACCTACGTGGGAGACCAGGAAGAAGCTCCTGGCTCCTTGCTTAGGATCAGCGCAGCTCCGCCCGTTGCGGCCAGCTAGGGAGTGAACCAGCAAATGGAAGACCTCTCTCTCTCTCTGCCTCTCCTTCTCTCTCCGTGTAACTCTGACTTTCAAATAAATAAATAAATTTTTTAAAAAAAGTTTTTTATTTATTTACTTTCACTTTATATGAAAGACAGAGATCTTCCAGCTGCTGGTTTACTTCCCAGTTGCCTATAACAGCCAGGTTTTGGCCAGGTCAAAGCCAAAAGGACACAACTATCTGAGCCTCCTACCTGGGTTGCAGGGACCCAAGTACTTGAGCCATCATCTGCAGCCTTCCAGGGTGTGTATTAGCAGGAAGCTGGATTGAAAGCAGAAGAGCTGGGACTAAAACCAGGCATGCTAATATAGTATGTGTACATGCCAAGTGGGGACTTAAGTATTGCACCAAACACCTACCCCAAGGAACAATTTTTTAGATTGTACTTCAAAAGAGGAAAAAAAATATAACACAGTCACAGACAACAACAAATTGATCAACTTTTAAGTTAGCAATCCCAATGAGGTTTCAATTCCTTATCCAATATAAAATTTCAGACCAAGATCTGTAATCCAGATTTATTCTAACTATGTTGAACCACTAAAGACTTACTGAAGATCCCAAACCTGCATCTTTCACCACCTTTTGGTATAGAAGATTTAAGTTTTACGGACAAACACAATAAAGAGAGTCACGAATACTGATGAATATAGTTCCACCTCCACTCCAAGAGCCGGAGAACTAGTGCAGAAAATCAGTGATAATAACAACCAGCTAGTTTGGAGACTATTTCTAAAATTCAACTTAGTTTCTCAAATGTACCTACTGGTAAGTAAAAAGTAACAAAAGCACAAAGTGAGGCCCAGAATAAACATTCAGTAAGTAAATGTAAGAGAATGAATGGCAGAACAAACTGTGGTACTGATCTCCCTATCACTGATCCCCAAGGCTGCCTTCCAGTGAAAGTGATAATGAGCAGGAAATAGATCAAATCAGGCTGGGAAGTAAAATAATCTAAAGGAGCTAATCAGCCCATCAGCTAACAGGGGTCTAGCCTTTCTGCCTCTAGTGTCGGGTTTAACATCCTGAAATATTCTTAATTCATAAATAACAAAATCACTGTAAGTCAGAAGTCAGTGTTGAAGCAGTCATGTCATATACTTTAAATTATAATCATATGGAAGGAAAATCTAATTTGTTCCTTTCAGAAGTCAATAGAAATTAACTTGTTATCCTTAATAGTAAAATAAACTTATATAATCTCCATGAAAATCTTCAAAAATATCTATTTTTTAAATATATGTCCTGCATACAGACCAGCAATCAGTTTCTTTAAAAAAAAAAAAAGATTTATTTATTTATTTATTTGAAAGGCAGAGTTACAGAGCAGCAGAGGAAGAGAGAGAGAGAAAAGAGGGCTTCCATCCGCTGGTTCACTCCCCAATTGGCCGCAACAGCCAAAGCTGCCCCAGTCCAAAGCCAGGAGCTTCTTCCGGGTCTCCCACACAGGTGCAGGGGCCCAAGGACTTGGGCCATCTTCTACTGCTTTCCCAGGCCATATATAGACGATATAGACAATAGAGTCTGCAACAGAAAACAGTGTTAAAAGCACATACTCAGGGTCAGCGTTGTGATGTAGCAGGTTAAGCCTTCACCTGCGATGCCAGCATCCATATGGGTGCAGGTTCAAAACCCAGCTGCTCCACTTCCGATCCAGCTCCCTGTTAACGTGCCCAGGAAAGCAGCAGAAGATGACCCAAGTACTTGGAACCCTGCCACCGAGACCCAGATGAAGCTCCTGGCTACCAGCTTCAGCATGCCCAGCACTGGCTGTTGTGGCCCTCTGAGGAGTATACCAGTGGGTGGAAGATCTCTCTGTATCTACCTCTCTCTCTAGTCTCTAATTCTGGCTTTGAAATAAATCTTAAAAAAAAAAAATTTTTTTTTCAGCTCTGCCACTTATCACCTGTGTGAGCTTGGGCAATGTCTCAGTTTCCCCAAGTCTGTAAAGTCCAAACAATAACACAAGTTTCTGTCTCAGGAGTTTTGAATTTCAAGTATGAGTTCATACATTAAAAGTACTTCAAACAACCCGTTGATCAGAGTAAATAGTATATGAGTAGGAACCAGTATTAATTACTACTATTACCATTGCTACTGCTGCTGCTACTAGTGTTACTATTAAGTCACTAAGAAAAATACTACTATACAACTATAAAAATGGCTATTATCTATCTATCTATCTATCTATCTCAACACCAAGTGCAGGCAATGATGTATTATGTACTGTTCTGTGTCTCCCCAACTTCACGTTGAAATCTTAATGCTAGGGGCCCAATGTTGTAGTCCAACAGGTTGAGTCACCAGTAGCAAAGCCAGTAAACAATACTAGGATGCTGGTTCGAGCCCCAGCTGCTCCTCTTCCATCTGGTTCCCTACTCATGTGCCTGGGAAAGCAGTGGAAGATGGCCCAAGTACTTGGACCCCTTCCCCCCAACATGAGAGACCTTGATGGAGTTCCAGCCCCCCCGCCAGTTGCAGCCATTTGGGGAGTGAACCAGAGGATGGAAGATCTCTCTCCATATAATTCTGTAACTCTGTCTTTCAAATAAATAAATAAATCTAAGAAAGAAAAGAAAGGAAAAAAATCTCAATGCTGAATGTGACATTAGGAAGTGTGGTTTTTAGAAAGTTAATTGGGTCAAGGAGCCCTCATGAAAGCGATTAGCACCCTATAAGGAGACACAAAAGCCTGACCTCATCTTTCTGCTCTCCATCATGTAAGGACACAGCTAAAAAGACAGCTGTCTGTACACTAGGGAAAGGGGCCACAGCAAAACCCTGCTGGCATCCTGATCTCAAACTTCCAACTTCTAG